GAAACAACAAGTGAGGAGATAAACTATGACTTAGCAACGGTTACCTGTCGACAACACAACAGTTCACTTTCTACTGGCAAAGATAACCATTAGTAATGGTGCCTCAGAATTCTATTGTACGCCAAAAGCAACCAATCTGTCCTATCAGGATATATTTACAGAAGTAAAAATCTTCATTTTACTCGATACTTGAAAGTAAATGAAGTAGCATTGGCCAAATAAACATCTATATTAGGCATGACAAAAAATATTTAATGCTTTCTCTGCATCTCATCAAAGGCGATGGGATATTTACTAAGATAACTACGCATGGTATTCGCTAGTTAGCTGTGACAAATTGAGGTCATTCCAACGCAATATCAAATTTGGGATTTTCCAGATCTCGCTACCACTGGAAAGTGCTCACAGAGCTTCCTTATGGCATGAACTTTACGCACATCCTCTAAGAAAAATACACTTACCGGCAAGTGCCCAATATTCCTGAGAACCGTTCTTAGAGATCTCGTCAAATCTGGCGTCCTCACGAGGCATTCTACGGCGGTTAGTCTCTCGTTTAGACATTTTAAGTTCCTTGTCGGAGTTCTCATCCATCGCTCAAGCGTGTATTTTCCAGCACGGGTAATGCACACACTGAATATTTCTACAGGGAATATCAAAACCAATCCTTTTACTGAAAACTGATGTCTCATCTTCTACGGTAGATCTCATGTTTTTCATTTTCCAGCTTTCGTGGAATTGATGGAACTGACCAAATATTTGCAGGTTTCTCAGACACCGTTCGTCCATGTATATTATTTGCTCACTAAACTGAAGAAAGGAATACGTATCACTTACAGTGTAAACATTTGAATATCGAATACAGTGAAACTCGTTTGCAGGAGACCAAGTTGACACACGGGCTCTTGTTTACTCAAGAATGAAAACAAAGCCGAAAATGATTTCAGCTAATATCCAGTGCAAAATAAGCCATCATTCTCCATAGAACAGTTGACTCACCGTTTGGCTGCAAGTTGGCGGAAAGTAAGACAAGAGAATCCGTTCTTTTGCTTCTTCATTTACTCCTCCAGCTATGATGGACAGATTCACTGAATACAACGCTGAGGCCAGTTGGTCATTTGCTGCATGCAGCACATATTAAAGACTTCCTCTTACCAAAATATCTGCTTGATAGCACACGCACTACAATTCTCCCTAATATGTCAAGTTTTTAACTGGTACCATATTTACGTTTTATATCCTCCATTATCGGAGCAAGCAGTAAAGAGATGAACTCCGAACACAGAAGTATATTTGGATTAAAAGAAAACAAAACTTTTCTTTAGAAATATATCCTTACTTTTGGAAAAAGGCTCATAACGACCGTCTGATTCAAACTCTGGTATATACGAAAGGATGCACGATTCAGTATCGTACCCCACGGCCCCGATAACCTGGTGTGTCGCTGACACGCACAAAACAACCTTCAAGATGTAAAATATAAAAATCAAACAACTTTTTTCTCAAGTCCTTCCTCTCCAACGTCTGATTCAACTGCACATGAGGGGTTATCCATCGTCGCGAAAAATGATAACCTTAATTGAAAGGACGCTTCTCACTTGGTCAGTAAAACAAGATGCAAACAAGAGGCTGGATCGGAGTGTCGCAATGAGCTGCCTACACACCAAGACCCAATACTTCTGTCAAATTGAGCGTGCGGTGCTTGTACTGTTCATTATTTCCAGTTGGTTGTTCAGGCGTTCCCGAGCTCTTCAGGACTTGAACCCGGTTTATTTAGATGGGAACTCAGTATTGGCACAATGGGATCGAATTTTCGAAAGCTATGACGTGTCTCTGACGGAATGAAGCAGTGAAACATTTGAGTTCGGAGCGCCACTGCAAACTATGTAGGACAATTTAGTAATCCCCGAAGTGCTGAAAACTCATTCCACCAAACTTTTCCGACAGAGGTATGATCGCTTCCGTGGGCAAAGAAGTTTGGTGGGATGCAAAAATACGAACCCAGATACAGATGGTTTTTTATTTCGGCATATTAGCAACAAAAAAACACATTTTGCTCCAAGGAATTCTACTCCGTTAGCGAAGGTTTCGCAGCTGAGCGCATTGTATGGCCAAATGGTTCCATTTAAATGATTGAGATACCCGTCTGACAGGGCTCGGTTTCTCATCACTGCAGAAATCCCTCAAGTTTTGAAAAGCACCCACATCGAGGGGTGGCCTTCAGGAAGCCAGCAGCAAACGTCATGGTTCGTCTGCCTTGTTCCGTAGCACACGGTTGCATGTCCGATCACATCTAGGTTTCTTCGGTGCCTGCAGGAAAATGTTCGTGAATGCACTAGATTTTTTGCCGGTATTCACGGATTCACGAATTGATACACAGGATCGAGGCTCTTGCCCGAGTTTCCCGCATCGGCTTTTTCTCGCCGGTCAGTGGCTGTCGTCCACCTGAAAGGCACGAGTGAAGAAAGGGTGTAGCATAGCTCTTTATGTTATCGGTAGTATGATAGTGTGAGAATTAAGTTTCGTACGTACATCGGTACAACCCGACAAACTAGAAATCCAGAATTCAGCGAAGCGTAACAACCAGCACGTATGTATTCGAATTCGCGAATATGTACAGCATATGGAACATTAAAACAAGAGAATAATGAATAGAGCAACAAATAGAGTATCAGTCATGTTCATCACAGCTAGCCAGCGCAAGGATTCGAATAAGTGAATGTCTAGTATTGCCTTAAAATGGGTACTAGAAGAAGCGCGGACAACCGTCGGAGAAGGGTCATTCCAAGCGCCTACTACCCTAAGTGAGAAAAATTTAGTCTAATAAGTGTGTGTGCTCTGACCTTGAAAATTTTCTTACTATGTCCCCGCCGTATGTTTGCTGGGCCAACGGTAAAAAACCTGTTTGCCGAGCTTCGTTCGGTCCCCTCGAGGCGATGAAACTCCAGGGGAACGAGATAAAGCACCGCGGGTCGCGTTTCGTAGTCCACGGATTTGAGGCCGGCAACCAGTCTCGTGGCGGCCCGCTGGACACGCTCAATGAGGGTGACGTCTTTCGTGCGTCCTGAGTAGACAACCTAGATGGCGTACTCCAGGAGCGGTCTGACGTAGGCCCCATAGAGTATTTGGAAGTCTATGCGAGTAATACGGGAGACGGTGCGTCGGATCATCCGTAAAATGGCGAGTGCCTTTTGGGCCGATTCCTCATGGTGCAGTGAAAAGTACAAGTTTGAGGAGACCCAGATGCCCAAATCCTTTTTGGCATCTATCCTCATGATGTTTTCTGGTCCTTCCTCAGCATGCATAACAAAGGCATTCGCTGAGTCTCCTCCCAGGGGACATATGGACGCACTTTTCGTCGCTCAGAGGAAGGTGCTCTTCCAATTACCAGTGCTTTGCAGCGTCTACATCCATTTGGAGGGCACTGTCGTCCGAAAAAAGTAGACATGGACTTGCAAGAACATCAGGAAGGTCGTTGACATAGATCAGGAGTAGCACTGGTCCCAGGACGGGGCCTTGAGGAACTATAATGGAGACCGACGCCGGAGAAGAGTAGATCGAGCCTCTTCTCACTCGCAATGATCTGTCTGATAGGAACGCCTTGATCCAGCGAAGGATTTTCCCCTGAATCCCGTAAGACTCGAATTTGTGGAGCAGCGGGACGTGTGAGACCCTATCAAGTGCTTTTAAGCGGTCGAACAATATGGCATCCCACAGGAAACCTTCGTCCTTGGCCTGGGTTAAGCTGTCCATAAACACGGGCATG